CGAAATGAATTTCCACATGCACAAATATAGTCGTGTATTTAGGTCCCATGTACTGTACCCATGAATATTTTTTTATAAGAAGTGGCATAAAATTCAATATATAAGCCAACAATAGGCTTCTCAGTACATTATAAGGAGATATCCTTCTCAATTAAATAAGAGTAAATTGTAGCAATGGTCATTCAACTAAAAATTCATTACCATTGATCCCTCAACTTATCAAAATGTGTAGCTATAGTCATTTTTATCAAAATTTTGTCAAAATAAGTTATGTTGGAATAACCATTTATATAATTAGGGTCCCTCAACTCATCAAAGTGTGTAATTTTGGTCATTTTCGTCAATTACGTCAAAATTTTTGTCAAAACGAGTTATGTTGGAATGACCATTGCTACAATTTGTTTAAAGTTAAGGGACCATTTCTCTAGTTGAATTAAAGTTGAGGGACCAATGATAATGTATTTTTAGTTGAGAGACCATAGCTGCACATTTTGATGAGTTGAGAGACCAATGGTAATGAATTTTTAATTGAGAGACCATTGTTCCAATTGAGTTAAAGTTAAGAGATTATAACTACAATTTACTCATTAAATAATCATGTACTACAATAGAAGATTCATCCAATCAAGTACAATAAAGAAAAGCATCCAAAGTGAATATTCCTCTACTCTTTATTGTTTCCACATTTCACCTCATTTTTTTCTTTAATAGTTCGAACAACACAGTAAGTACGATTCTACTCGGGGCACACTTGTTAGCTACAATTTCCATCTGTTTTGTAAATAAAAAATAAACAGTCATGATAGAATTGAAAAAAAATACTATTTTGTTCTCAACTAGCAGTCTTTTTTTTTAAACAAGAAACAGTACAGTGGTAATAAATCCAGCTTATTATCCAGCCCAAAACCCAATATGAAATCTTTGGGCCTTACGACCCACTAATCCAAGCCCAATTCTAAATTTCATATCCCAGCTCGGGCCCCCACCACATTCTGGGCTTGACTCCGCTATAGCACGATATTGTCCGCTTTGGGCCTCGACCACACCCTCACAGTTTTGTTTCTAGGAACTCACACAAGAACTTCCCAATGGGTCACCCATCATGGGATTGCTCTCACACGAACTCACTTAACTTCAGAGTTTCGATGGAACCTGAAACCAGTGAGCTCCTAAAAGGCCTCGTGCTAGGTAGAGATGAGAATATACATATAATGCTTACAGGATCCTCACCCCTGGGCAATGTGGGATCTTACACTAAACCTGGCCCAAATCTGTTAAACCTTCGACCCAAATGCCATAACCTATAATCCTGGCCCAAGTCCAATATGTTATCCAACCCAAAAATCCAATCTAAAACCGGCCCAATTCTTTGGGACATATGAACTTGTTGATGTACAAAATCAGCAATGACTTTGGTACAACAGAAAGTGTTAAGTTTGTGACCTTCGCTAGATTGCTCTGATCACTAGTATGGATAAATATGTAAATGGATAGAGATAGGGAATCAAACACAAGATGTACGTGGTTCACCCAGATTGACTACGTCCATGGAGTAGAGGAGTTCTCATTAATTGTGAAGGGTTTACACAAGTACATAGGTTCAAGCTCTCCTTTAGTGAGTACAAGTGAATGATTTAGTACAAATGACATTAGGAAATATTGTGAGAGAATGATCTCTATTTATAGAAGAGAGTTTCTAGTTTCATTCTGACATTAACACGTGTCGTGTTGTGATTGGCTTCTGATGTTGACACGTGTCGCGCTATGATTGACTTCTGATGTCAACACGTGTCGCGCTGTGATTGGCCTCCTGGTTGGAGGGAAACTCTTATGGGTCATTGAGGGTATAACGTTGATCGGTGCTCAGTAGTTTTGGGATTGGTCAAGCATGCTACAAACAATCACATACAAATACAAGGGTGCCATTAGGTACATTAGTAACTAATAAATTAATCTGGAGTGAACTTCCACAATCATACAAACAAAAGTGAATCTCTAAACGGCTACAACAATATATAGTATATACCACATATTACCAAACTCATGACTTGCAAAGTTGCAGATGCCAATTAATAAAATTTTACAAAATTCTACAACAAAGCATAATAGTAAACTGAGTTTGCATAATTGGAGCATGCATTCAAATTTCAAATTCCAGAATTCCTGGAGTAAAAAAATCTAGAATTCCCACTAAAAATATGTCCAAAATTAGATAAATATATGTCAATTTATTTTCTAATTTTGTACAGGCCTTTTCTGTATATTTATTTGGATGTGACAAATAGCATGCGACATGCAATGAGATTGTGGTCTGCCTTAGCCGTTGATTCATCTTATGCTGTCATTTTCAATAACTTGAATTTTTTGTATTTGAATCGAAAAAAATAAAAATTATATATATATATTATATATATATATATATATATATATTATATTGGTACTGGATTGACACAAAAGGGCATTAGGGTTGACAAGATCCCTTCCTCCCATATTAGACATTTGAGTAAATTATAGCAATATCCATCAACTTTAATCAAATTGAAACAATGGTCCATCAACTAAAAATCCATTACCATTGATCCCTCAACTTATCAAAATGTGTAGCTATAGTCATTTTCATCAATTTTGTCAAAATTTTGTCAAAATAAGTTATGTTGAAATAACCATTTATATAATTAGGGTCCCTCAACTCATCAAAGTGTGTAATTATGGTCATTTTCGTCAACTACGTCAAATTTTTTCTCAAAACGAGTTATGTTGAAAGGACCATTGCTACAATTGGGTTAAAGTTAAGAGACTATTTCTCTAGTTGAATTAAAGTTAAGAGACCAATGATAATGAATTTTTAGTTGAGGGACCAATGGTAATGGATTTTTAGTTGAAAGACCATTACTCCAATTGAGTTAAAATTAAGCGATCATAACCACAATTTACTCTAGACATTTTCCATGTGCTTGCCTGCTGTCCATTGCTAGCCACTAATTCTTTTTATATTAATAATTAACCAAATAAGATTAGTTTATTAATATTATATTAATTAATTATACAAATTGATGCGTTCCACTGCTGGAGCGCTAAGTTTTTGATTTGCTGGTAGTTGCTAGTGGCCCACAAAACCACAGCACACAAAAGAGGGGAATTGGATCCTCTGTGCTCAGGATCCTCTAACTAGTCCACGTGAGCCGTTAGATTTTGATCAAACGGTTACAAATAGAAGTTTCCTCTAAAAATTATAATAATTGTAATCGTTAGATCAAAATCCAACGACTCATGTGAGCTGGTTAGGAGGATCCTAAGCTTGTACTTAAGAGAAGATCCAATTCCCAGAAGAGGCCCATGTGATGTGATTGCGTCAAAGAGCTAAATATATTTTTTAGCATGTCAAAAACACGTCTTCATATATTTAGTGTTATGAACCAATGGTTGGACATTTAAGAAAGAAAATTTTAACCATTTGTATTATGTTGTTTGGTGTATTGGACCAAATTTTCGACACACTGAAAAATTTCTCAAAAGATAGATAATAAGAGAAAAATCGGTACCTGAATATCCTAATAACGTTGGAAATAGGTTTTCAAAGGGGAGATCCTACCGTCCTAAGTTAAGATGTTTGTTCTTCAATGTTAGAATTAGTATTAATCTTATCATGGGAAGAAGATTAATAAATATAAGAAAGAATATTAATAAAATGACGTTCATTTCGAATCAAAAGAATACTAATAAAAGAATATTCAAGCCAGGGAGTTTGTTTTCTAAAAGATCAACCATTTATATTGTGACACTAAGTATATGAAACTGATTTCCGGCACACTGAAAATTTTCTTCAAAGACAGATAATAAAAGAATATTAGGTACCTGAATATCCTTATAACGTTGCAAATGTTTGTTCTTCAATGTTAGAATTAGTATTAATCCTATCATGGGAAGAAGATTAATAAATATAAGAAAGAATATTAATCAAATGACGTTCATCTTGAATTAAAAGAACATTCAAGTGAGCGAATTTGTTCTTTAAAAAATAATCATCTAGACCAAATATGGTTTGGTCAACTAAATTGTGCTTATAAATATCTTGTTTTAGATAAACATGACATGAAAAGGATGATAATCAAGGCTAAAATATTCCATTTAAGTTACTTCTTATTTTAGCATGAATGAGACTTGCACTAATTTCTTTTTTTAGCGTGAATGAGACTTGCACTTGAATGAGATGCTAGGAAATTTTCACCCTTCGTTCGTCATACGATAGGTAACTTAATCAATAAGAAAGAGAGAGGAGATGGATGGGTGGTACAGAGGAGGTAATAATTTGGAATATGTTTATTCTTCTCACATCAAAGCTTCATGTCATGTTCAAGTATAACATGTTGATATGTTTGCATAAATTTTTTCTTTTATATTTTTTATTAATCGCTTAATTTTATGTGTGGATTTATAATTTACATTTTAGCCTAACTTGTCATTTTTTTAGTCGAACAAATCTTCGTCGTTAGGTTTTTCTTTTGCTAGACCAAAAAAAAAAGCTAACACATCTTCCCTCACCAAAAATTCTTCATAAAATTTGGTACTCCGTATGTTTTAATCGTTAAATCTAATTTTTTTTATATTTTTAAATAAATGATATTATGTATACTAAGGAAAGGGATGAGTTTAGCCTTACAATATACTAGCAATAATGTGGTTCAAACTCGTTTTTGGCAAGAATCGAACCTAAGACTTCTCACTTGCAAGTGAAGAGAAATACCACTAAATTGTAGTACTAAGTAGCCAAATTCCAACTGTTAAACATCCGAAATATCAGGTACCAAAAAAAAATCGTTTTCCATCACATTCGTCCATGTAATTTTCAACATAGTGTGCATGTTGTTCACAATTCTTTTGATGCTTACATTATCGATGAGAGGTGTAAGCATTGATAGGTGTTTATATTCGCTGCCAATGGCCCGATTTAACATGTTCTCTTTACTCTAATAGTCACACCCACACCCGCAGCCGCACCCCCGGCGGTTTAAAACGCGCTCTAACTTGCCCCCTCGTTTTTTCACCGCCGTTGACTGGTCAACGATACCGGCCGTGGCGAAAATACAACTTGCCACACACATTAGCGCGTTGTATACGAGACGAGCGGTCTCTCTCTCTCTCTCTCTCTCTCTCTCTCTTCGGATATACTCTCGCACACACTAGCTCTGTAAAACGCAGCAGCAGAAGGCTCGAAAATATCTTGGAGGCGGTTTTGAAATTTCTTCTGGAAACCCAAGAGTTCAGCATTTAGTCTAGTTGATTGGAAAGTCGGGAGTATATTTTGCTGGGAAGAGCGTGTGTTTTGACTAAACCCTTGAAGAAAGGTTCAATCTTTCTCCTCTTCTTGTCTGTATTGTGTATACTTTGTCCTGCATGTTTGCTTTATAACTGGCAGTATTTTGCTATAACTGTTAGATTGTGATTGAATCTGGAAGAAAGTTTCAAACTTTCTCCTTCTTTTCTCTGCATTTCTGCTGCTTTTTTTGCATTAAAATTGCAGGATTTTGCTCAAACTGTTTGTGTTTGTGTGTTTGTATCGAAACCCAGAACCCAGATCCAAAAGGGTTATCTGGGGTTGATTTGTTTGTGTTATCCGATCCATATCCGGATCCTTTGTTTGAAAATCTGATTGTTTTTGGATTGGAATTCATTAGGATTGGACAGCAATGGAGGGTGAGAAGAAGTACATTACTGTCGAGCAGCTGAAGCTGCACAACAAGCCCTCGGATTTGTGGATCTCTATCCAGGGCAAGGTTTACAATATCACTGATTGGGCCAAAGATCATCCGGGTGGGGATGCCATTCTCTTCAATATGTCCGGCCAGGACGTTACTGATGGATTCATTGCCTACCATCCTCCATCAGCATGGAAGTACCTGGGAAAGTTCTTCACTGGGTACTATCTGAAAGATTTCGAGATCTCCGAGGTCTCCAAGGATTACAGGAAGCTTGCTTCTGAGTTTAACCAGCTCGGCTTGTTTGAAAACAAAGGGCATGGGGCCCTTTACTCCGTGATTAGTATTCTGGCTATGCTTTACCTTGTTGTGTATGGTGTGTTGAAGTCTGAGAGTGTGTTGGTTCATTTCGGTTGCGGTTGTTTGTTGGGGGTCCTCTGGGTTCAGGGTGCCTATATGGGTCATGACTCCGGGCATTACCAGGTCATGTCTAGCCGCAGGTACAACAAACTCGCGCAATTTCTGGCTGGGAATTGCCTTACTGGGATCAGCATTGCTTGGTGGAAATGGACCCACAATGCCCACCACATTGCCTGCAACAGCCTTGATTATGATCCTGATCTTCAACACATGCCGGTTTTTGCTGTGTCCACGAAATTCTTTCAGTCAATAACATCAACCTTTTACGGAAGAGAGCTGACGTTTGATGCCGTGGCTAGATTTTTAGTCAGCCACCAGCATTTTACGTATTATCCAATCATGATTGTTGGAAGGGTAAACTTGTTTATACAGACGTTCTTGTTATTGTTCTCGAAGAGGAGCATCCCAGATAGAGCTTTGAACATAATGGGGATCCTTGTTTTCTGGACTTGGTTTCCTCTCCTTGTTTCATGTCTGCCTAATTGGAGCGAGAGGTTTATGTTCGTGTTGGCGAGCTTTACAGTGACAGCACTTCAGCACATTCAGTTCACTTTGAACCATTTTACAGGAGATACTTATCTTGGACCACCAACTGGCAACGATTGGTTTGAGAAGCAGACAGCTGGTACCGTGGATATTTTGTGCTCAAGTTGGATGGACGGGTTCTATGGTGGCCTGCAGTTTCAGCTTGAGCATCATTTGTTCCCACGATTGCCCCGTTCCCAGCTGAGGAAGATTTCTCCCACTGTGAAGGAACTATGCAAGAAGCACAATTTACCTTACAAGAGTTTGTCCTTCTTGGATGCCAATGTGACTACCATTAGGATGCTAAGGAATGCTGCTCAGCAGGCTTGGGACATGACCCTTCCCGTCCCGAAGAACTTGGCCTGGGAAGCTGTTAATACCCATGGTTGATGTTTGTGTCGACGCTCATCTAAATACCGCCCCTGCATTAGGTTTCTCTGTTTATAAGTTGGGGCATCCTTTTCAGCAGGTTTTTCATTTGCTATTTGATATTATTTTTGGCAGTTTTTTCTGATATTTGATTTATATGTTTTCTATGTTTAAACTAAACCTACTCTAATCGATAATCATCCGCTTTCTTCCTTCTGATGAAGGACAAACAATTTGAAGTCTAAGTTGAATTTCTGAGTGTATTTCAGGCTTCTTGATATGGATTATTGGAAACCATATCCATTTGTGGTATAGTGGCCAAAGAGTTTAGGGTTCCTTTGGATTGGATACTTCATAAGTTCAAAGTACGTTGAAGGCAGAGGTGAATGATTTTTCATTTAGAAGCGATTAGAAGAGATTGGACACGAAGGAAATGTACCTCCACTAATCGTATCATTTTGTGGGGACCGTAACATGTAATCCATCTTCTACCTTTCAATTTGACACAATTTATTCATCATACTTTGAATGTAGTGAGTTACGTTTTCCATTTCAGTCCTAGACATAGACGAGTGCACGATGAATCGGACCTTAGACATGAACTTTTATCTTCAATGAAAAATCCTTAGCATATCTTGTACATGTAATGTAAGTTTGGTTAGAACGTCTTGTTTCAATGCGTTGACAACATCTCACTTCTACTCAATTTCTTCAACTTTGACCTTCTTTTGGGGTGCGGTCATCATATATAGCTTAGAATTAATTTGTCTCGTCATTCCAATTTTAAGTTTGATGTATCAAATTTTGGGTGGTAAAATTCAAACAGTGAGATCAAAATTAGAAAAATCGAGTAAAAGTTAGAAAAATCGAAAAAAAAAATGGCAAAAGGAAATGTATCATATATAGCTTAGAATTAATTCGTCTCGTTATTCCAATTTTAAGTTTGATGTATCAAATTTTGGGTGGTATAATTCAAACAGCGAGATCAAAATTAGAAAAATCGAGTAAAAGTTAGAAAATTTGAAAAAAAAATGGCAAAAGGAAATGTCAGAAGTGGGATTTGAACCCACGCCCTCTTTCGAAGACCAGAACTTGAGTCTGGCGCCTTAGACCACTCGGCCATCCTGACTTCTTGTAGTGTTATCGCTCATTAAAATATATGAGCAAATTAGATCATAAAAAAACCAACAAACCGATTTACTCTTTTGAAACGTAAAAATGGCAAGAAACCTTGAAACCCTCAATCGATTTCTACGATTTCAAGTGTTAAGCAGTTAGGGTTTCGGTTTTCATTCCGGCAAGCTATTTCCGTCGGAATGTCAACAAAACTCAAAATTAAGATATGAGGTCGATTTTCAGGTTTCCAAATCAAGAAAATGTTTTGTTTAATTTCAATATCAATAGGGAGCGAGTAAAAAATTCATATAAGTCTATCAAAATCCATATAAGTCTATAAATTTTATTAAAATTCTTTAAAATTTATCATTTTAAAAATAACCTATTAAAATTTTATAAAATTCAAATTGACTACACTCCTTAATTTCACTACTCATCTCCTTCCAAATTGAATTCGTAATCTTTCTTTATGTAAATAATATTAATTTTCGATATTTTATATCTTTGAAACATAATGTTTATTACAATTTTTAATCACCCAGCCGCTCGGCACCGTTTTGTAGTCTATACTCTACGGCGCGAACTGGTTAAATCTTCGCCTCCCGTTCGGTAGGGTGTTTCGTAATCAGTCCCCAGTTTCAATCTCTAGGGTTTCCTTCTCGGCCAACTTCGATAGCCATGAACCCAATTCCGTACCAACCGCAGGCGCCCCACCCTCCGTGGCCTCCGGTGGTGCCGCCCAACCCGCCAATGTCGAGCTCCTTCTGGGAAACCACGAACGTCCGTGATCGGCTCAAGAACTTGCAGGACACTCTGAGTCTCGCAAAAGCAATGTACGAAATCGAACCATTGAAAATTCCAATTCAATTTTGCTTCTGAACTTTCTGCAACTTCTGTTAATTTTTGAATTGCGATTTGAATGAATTGTTGTAGGCAGAAAGAGCTTCAGATGCTGCAATTGATCAAAGACGGTAAAGGGTCCGACGATGGTGAAGCTTCCGTTGGTGGGTTTTCGGAGTATTTGAAAGAAAGGAGGGTAAATGTGGAGTCTCAAGTGACGCTCTCACTGGAAGCTGCGAATGCTTTGATGGCGAAACTGCAAGTTGAGCTGGAACCGTTTAGAATGATCACGCATGAAATGTGTCCGTGGGAGGAGAAGTCTGCGGTGGTGCGGTTAGCAAATAAGATGCGCAAGACGAAGAGGAATAAACGGTGGAGGAAAGCGAAGAGGAAGCGCATTGCGGAAATGATTGCAGAGGTAGACTGTTGTGTTTGAATTTCGATTTGGGATGTCAAAAGTTGTTTTGATTTATATTACTTACATTGGATTTGGTATGATGGTGTTTAGGAGCGTGAGAGGTTCGAGGAAGCTGATCGAGAAGCTGATGAGTGGAGAGCTAGGGAAATTGCCAAAGATATTGCCAAACGCAAGGTTTGAGCTCCTTTTTACTTCAGGCAATCTTAACTTCTGTTTATTAGTAATGGAGGCATGGCTTGTGGGTTTTTCAGATGGAGGATATGAAGAAAATTGCAAAGCTTAAAGCAAAAGAAGAGAGAAAGAGACTAGAATCCGAGGTGATAATCATGTTCGACTTGAATTTTCGTGTTGTGTAATGTTCTGCCCTTTGGGTTTTAAACAAATACAATTGATTACATTTCAGCTTGAGACGGTATTGATTGTAGAGAAATTGCAACAGTTGCGTTCCATCAGGATCGAAAAATTGAAGAAACAAGGTTTGCTGTATTTTTAGTTTTTCTATTTCGGACTGCCATTGTGTCTTGTATTGTGTAGGTAGATATGTTAGTAATGAAGTTCTGTTATTATGCATCATCATCAAAGGTGCCTGTGACACTATGTTTTCGATGTGTTTATATTGATGCTGTGTGTCTTGTTATGTGCATCTTTGTTAGTGTATATATATACATCCAATTACAACCAAATATTTTTAACACGTGCATTATCATCATCATTGTCTCACTGTATTTCTGTAACTCGTATCTCTGCATATTTATCTATGTAGGTCATTTTCTCCCAGAGGAGGATGATAAATTTCTTGAAAAAGTACGGGCTGCAGTTGAGGAAGAGGAGCAACAAGTTATCTTGGCAGCTGATATGGACGCTGCTAAGGATGCCATAGCAACTGTTGAGCAGTCCAGGAAAATAACCGAGAATGTCAGACCTGACTCCAAGGATGAAAGCAGCGATAGAGACGAGACAAAGGAGAGTAAAGACCAGACAACTCCAAGCACTAATGCAGGGACCTCTACTTCAGTCACTAACAAGGATTACGGGAAACAAGTTTCGCAGGGAGAAGGACATAGCGGAGCTTATGATGCTGTGGTAAACTTACCTATTGAATTTTATCACTACTATCATGGCAGCAACACCGATATGGGCACGCTTATTGAGGTAACTTGAAGCACCAGTACAAAGAGTTTTGTATATTTCACGCCTCCAAATGAATTCATGCAGTATCTAGGATTGCCTATTCAGGGGCCACTTATAATTTTTTCGACATCAAATTTGTTTGCTTAACTGGCTCGGATCATAATGGAGATTATATCGCATACAGGTGAGAAGAACATGGGATGCCTATATAAGACCAGGAGGAAGGTGAGCACCAATTCTTTCTTGCTACCCATTTCTCACTTTAACACGAGGCGCCATATGATTAATCTTTGGAAGTTTTTTTCTTCTTGTCAAGTTTTGAATCTGCTATCCGTTGCATCACACATTGTATGGTCTCTCCAACATTATTTATGCCCAATAAATAGCTTGATTTTGAGAATGAAGTTTGTGATTCGGTTAAACTTGGTGCAGCCGCATACCAGGACATTGGGTTCAACCCCCGCCACCTGCAGATGATATATGGGCATCCTACCTGGTGCAGCCTAAATGATTCCACAGGTGAATCAGCGAGTTGCAGATTTTGCTGAATAAGTTCGTTAAACTTGGCTTCAGGTTTTTCTCCTTGTCCATTTTCTTGATTATTTTGTCTTTGCTGTTCACTTGTAATATGGGCTGATATAATGGGAATGGTGATGCCATGTGACCAATATGCGAAAGTAGTGTTAGGATCAGTCGCGCTTATAGGTTGGTCTTAACCTTTAATTTCTTGTGGATTCCTGCAAAGCATCAACGGCCAATATCAGCTCCATGCACAATCGATCCTGGCATTCTTTATGAAACGATGAACACAAGTTTCCTCAAATTTTTTTTTTTTTGTTTATTTTTTTTTTTTGTTTATTTTTTTTTTCAAAACAAGTTTCCTCAGTCTGAATAAGCAAACAATGTATTCAATTCAATTTGAGACCACAAATTCAATTCAATTCAACTTGAATAAGATAAATAAAGCAGAGAAGGGAGGATAAAAGCTTACGTGTATTTTTACTGGTACATAGGATGCCCCAAATGTTTGAATAGTAAGATTGAGACTGTCAAAATCCAGTCAACCAATACAACGATGAGTTGCATCTTATTTACCGCTGCATTATAGAATTTTCGTAGATTGTTATTTTATTAGTGTTGTTAATTTTTTTTTTCCTTAAAAACTTGTTGTAAGCAAACACCTACAAATAATCACAAGTATTTTATAACATTTAAAGCTCGTTTGATAGCTATTCAGTTTTTGTTTTTGATTTTCAGCTTTCACTTTTTTGGAAACCAATTTGTTTGGTAATTATTTTTTGTTTTCAAAAATCTTAAAATTGATTTTTTTTTTTTTAATTTTCAAAATTTGGCCTTGAGTTTTTAGTTTTCATTTTTCTATAAAAAACTAAAAGTGGTTACTAAATAAGATTAAGTTTCAGATTTTGAAAAAGTAAAAATAAAAATTGAAAATGAAATAGTTATCTGTTGTAGTCATATTTAGAATATGAGTGTGATTGTGTAAATCCTAGGGAATCTAGGAATGTATCTTATATTCCTATTAGGACTAGATTACATATTAAATGTTGTAATCCTAAAGGGAAAGGTTTTACCCTTCCTACTACTATAAATAAAGACACAATGGGGTGAATCAAATACACCTCACAATTAAATCAATCTCTCTTCTCCCTAAAGCTTGCCACACCTCTCTCTCTCTAACCCTAGATCACCCAATCAAATAGACTTACAACACGTTATCAGCACACTCTTCCCAGAAGCTAAGAAATTGACGCATCGTTGGAGGAGGCTATCATCCACCACATTCAAAGGCTTATTCGTTTTCTGCTAATCATGTACGCTTAAAATAAAAGAAGATATTTGAAATGTCCACGAAGCATGAAAACATTCCTCATGATGCATGAACCCCTCTATGTTTATATTTCCCTTTCGATATATATATTGTATATGTTCATATATTTGTCAATATATATATTTGTTTCATGCATCGCACAATTAAATTGTTATGTGGAATTTGTGAGTCAAAGCATAAAATTAAATTAGAAGCATATTAGGGTTTGTAGAACCCTTACAATTTCGAAAATTTTGGGAAAGTTGGACACCATCCTTGCGGCACAAACTGGGCAGCAGCCCCCTGGGCTTTGCTGCACCTACTTTGACCCCCAGGCCTTCGGCTTGATTGATTGGAATAGGCCTACAACCCTAGTTCTTTCTCTGTGGAAAGCCTGCAGCTTTCTTGGACCCATACCAAACCCACGGCAAGCTTTGCTTTTTGGGTTCTTGTTTCGCACACACATGCCAGCCCACGGGCTGGGTTTGTTTTGTCTTCCCGTGCATCACCCACAAGGCCAGCTGTTGCTGGGCCTTGTCCTGAGCACCCTCATTCGGCCCAAACGACAACCCAGCTACAACTGGGGGATTTCTTGCACCCCGTGGCCTGCAGCCACCACCCAAGTTTTTTTTCGGGCCGTGTCTTATGCTTAAGACACCCACCCATGCCCAAATTATTTTTTGGGGCATATTTTTCGACCAAATGCTATTATTTTAGCATTCTAAAATAATTTAACCCGTATGTTAATATTATTTTGCTTTTACAATCGACCTCGTATGGCCTGATTTATTGAATTAATTAAAAGTGATCTGCAGTCCATTAATCTGATAATGAATCCAAAATTATTGACCTAAAGATCACTTTTGGACATTAACGATTCAATAATTTATTTTTATACTTTGAACCGTCACATACTTTCGTAGTAACAAAGCTCTCACACTTGAGTTTCCGAAGACAACTCAAATCCACTACAATTAGTTAGTATATTGCATTCTGTGTTTCTTGCAGGAACCTCTCATTATGAACTAATTGTTCATAAAGCTAAATTGAACCTGTAGTTTCAAATTTAGTGCCTTTGAAACCCGAAGTTTTCATTCAAAACATACCACATGAAACCCGTAGTTTTCATGCATAAATTAAACCAATACATGTCTAAAGAACCTGTATGTTCTACGATATATGTCTATGGCTTACCATATGACTAATCACGTTTTCTCCCTCCGTTTTAGGGACATGTCGAACTTGAACAAGCTTGATTTCTCCGCTCTAGAAGTCTCTGGAAGAAACTATTTGAAATGGGTTCAAGATGTGAAGCTCCATTTCACTGCAAAGGGTATTAGAGCCACCATCGAGGCACCTATTGCCGACAAACCTGTTGACGAAGCTCAGAAGGCTACTGCAATGATCTTCATCCGAAGACACATTTATGATGCACTGCAAACTGAGTATCTCACTGAGGAGGACCCACGTACCATCTGGCTTGCTCTGGCCGACCGTTTCGATCACCAGAAAGACATATACTTGCCTGAAGCAAGACACGACTGGCAGCATCTTCGCTTCCAGGACTTTAAGTCCGTGAATGAATACAACTCTGAAGTTTGTAGAATACGTTCTCTATTGAAATTCTGCAAAGTGAAACTAACCGAATCAGATCTCCTGGATAAGACCTATTCGACCTTCCATGCCACAAATATTGTCCTACAGTAACAATATAGGGCACATAAATTCACCAAGTTTTCGGATTTGATCTCTGTTTTACTTCTCGCTAAAAAGCAGAACCAGCTCTTGATGAAGAATCATCAAGCTCGACCTAATGGTACGAACGTCGCGCCTGAAGCGCATGCGACCTATTCTAGCAGCTATAAACGACGAAAGAACCGCCGTGGCCATGGCAATGGGCGGCAAGCCCAACCACAGGCCCAAGATCAACAGAGTGCCGCACCTAAGGGAAGAATTGCGACCCAGCATCGTCTACCACTAGCCCCTAAGGTCCCAAACTTTAAGAACAAGGGCAAAACTCCCATTCAGGCTGCTTCTATTGAACTAGACATGTGCTATCGTTGTGGATCAAAGGATCATTGGTCACGCGTATGTCGAGCTTCCCCTGAGGCTATTGCCAAGTACCATTCTCGTCGTGAGTCTAACTTTGCACATGTGGATCATTCGGAAGATGCAACTACATCAATGGAGATATCGAATTTCCAGGAGGCATCAACGCCTATGGATGAATAAAATAAACATGTATTTAGGGTGTTTAGCCCTAGTGGCCGAACCCACTAGGAGTGGCCGGCCTTACCCCCTATTTTGCTAGGTTTATGGTTTAATTTTAAACAATTTTTCTAAGTATTTGGAATAATTTGTTTGGTTTTGGTTTGTTTTGAATTATGGATTGTTATTTGAATGGATATTATTTTCTCAAATTGCTTAATTGAGTGAATGGACTCATATTTATACATGTGACCAATTCAATCAATTTATTTCTAGGTATGTCTAGTGGGGAAGTTAGTTGTCTGGCAGATAGTGCAACCACGAACACCATCTTGCGTGAACGCCACTATTTTATTAACTTCATACCTAAGAAAGCTCATTTGACAACTCTATCAGGCTCGTCCAACCTGATTGAAGGATACGGAAAGGCACGTATCGTGTTGTCTAATGGTACAATTCTGACCATTAAGGAGGCACTCTATTCTCCACATTCCGGAAGAATGTTGCTGAGTTTTAGAGATATTCGAGATAATAAATATCATCTTGAAACCACTGAAGATCATGGTTCTAAATTTCTTTGTATCACTTCGTATGAATATGGCCAGAAGCATATTCACGAGATGTTGGAATGCTTGCCGAGTGGATTGTACATCGCAACCATTCGCGGCATAGAAGTCCACAGTGTGGCCATCCCTATGCTTGAGTTCCCGGACACTTTGTTGCTTTGGCATGATCGTTTGGGACATCCTGGACATGACATGATGTGCCGTATCCTCAAATCTTCACACGGGCATAAGTTACATCCCTATGTTGGACTCCCACCATGCAAAACGTGTTCTTTAGGGAAGTTGAATACTTAACCCTCATAGACAAAGATTATTCCCGACCTCCCTAAATTTCTTCAAAGGATTCAAGGGGACATTTGTAGACCTATCCAACCAACATGCGGACCATTTAGATACTTTATGGTGTTGGTTAATGCATCGACAAGATGGTCACATGTTTGCTTGTTGTCCACACGCAACGCCGCGTTTACTAAACTCCTAGCTCAAATCATTAAGCTAAGGGCTCACCACCCTGATTATCCGATCAAGTCGATTCGACTGGATAATGCTGGAGAGTTTACGTCACAGACTTTTGACGATTATTGCATGTCAGTAGGGATACATGTGGAACATCCTGTACCCCATGTTCACACCCAAAACGGCCTGGCAGAAGCTTTCATAAAGTGCCTTCAATTGATAGCTCAGACTTTGGTTATGTGAACCAAATTGCCAGTATCTGCCTGGGGCTATGTAATATTGGACGCAGCTATATTGATCAGCCAGAGGCCCACCGCTACCTAACCACATTCACTGTTACAGTTGGTCATTGGATACGAGCCTGACGTCTCGCATTTATGGGTGTTTGGGTGCGTCATTTATGTGCCAATAGCGCCGCTGCTACGTACCAAAATGGGTCCTTAGAGAAAAATGGGAATCTATGTCGGTTATGATTCGTCATCAATTGTTCTATACTTAGAACCCTTGACAGGAGATCTCTTTACCGCACGTTTTATGGATTGTCACTTTGATGAGATAGTCTTCCCGTCGTTAGGGGGAGATAAACATATTAATGTTCCCGTAGAACGCCGCGAATTGTCGTGGTATGCTCCCACTATGTCTCATTTAGATCCCCACACTGCCCAGTTTGAAACTGAGGTACGTCGAATTATAGATCTTCAAAGCATTGCTCAAAGCATGCCGGATGATTTTAATGATCTAGCAAAGGTGACAAGATCACATATACCCGCTGCAAACACACCTGCAAGGATAGATGTACCCCGTGTACGTCAACAACCCGCCTAGGAAGGCTGAACCGTCCCCGAAGGAGGGGAGGCCG